ACACACTCATACACACACACAAACACACACGCACACACACACACAAACAAACACAAACACACACACACATACACACACACATAAATAAATAAATCCAGCAAATCAACAACGCTCACCTGAAACAGAAGTCCCAGGCCATCGAACTCCAAGAATGACCTCATCCAGTCCTGATCGTTGCATTTGATGGCCTTTCTCAACTGAGACAGTGTCTGGACGGTGGGGTTACGCAACCAGAAGATAAAGTTAAGGGATTCGGGATCGAATCCCTGCTTTTCCCCACCTTCTTCGCCAGCATCTTCATCCGAGGAAAAAGTCAGGCCAAGTACAAAGGCGTCAGAGCGCGCCCTTTTCGCGACCCGGCGCCCTTTCTTTTTGGCGGCAAAACGAGAGACAGTCTTGGTGTCCTTCTCTCCGCCACCGTTCATGGTGGCTTTGAGGCTCATGGCGCTGCTGTGTAGAGAGACCTAGCACCCAGTTTGTTGCGTGTGTTTGTGTGCGAGTAGAAAGGTGAAGGTGGAAACATACGACGAAATTCTGTCACAGAAGTTTGATGCCTTCGTTGGTAGATTTTTCCTAGCCTTTCTGACAAAGAAATTGTGATGACTTCGTGGGTAGATCTTTTCAAAGCCTAGCGAATTTCCTTCTGGGGAAAAAGAAATACGATTTACATGTAGTTACATATATTTATAAGTTTTAGTAAGAGTTTTACGGCAATTTCGACACAATTTGGTCATACAAGTGCCAACGATAAGAAGCGTTGCGTGAGAGTAATATACAAAGGAAAGATGGAGGATAGATGAAAACCATTTATTTTGTTTGTTAAGGAGCATAAGGAGCAAACCACACCAGGTCACCTGTCGATCACCCACCCGTATTCAGATGAACGTTGGCCATGCAGATCGAACAAAAAAAATTGAAACACCTTGCTATAAGAAAACGAAAAAAGAAAAAAATGTGAAAGAGAGTGACAGACGAAGAAACACCAACTAGTCAGGACAGTATAAGTCAAAAGAGAAACAGTTTCCCTGGCGAAACTATAGACACTGAGACACAGACACGTACGTGATAAATGGGCATGTGAGCGGTCAGGCGCAGGGACGGGCCGGTAAAAAGACAAGATTTTAACAAAGATTTTCCCCCAAGGCATCGATTTGTAGAGTCAGATTTCTTTCAAGTTGTGGCTATCCCGTACATTACCATAACAAAACTCATCGATTTCTGAACAACGCTACGGAAAACGCTCCTATCATTTATTTTGGTTTTTAGTAAGGGTAAGAATTGTACGGCACTTGCAACACAAAAATCTAATAAAAGCCGAAGATTACTAGAAAGTAACATACAACAAAAAGATGGAAGAAAGAAAAGGGAGAAACGTATTTGATAGGAAAGAAGGGAGCAAACCACACAAGAGCACCTACTAACCTTCTACTCTCTTGTCGAACAGATTCCGGGTGATAATAATGATATGGCACTTATAACATTGAACGATCGGACAAGCCACACAAGTCTTACAATGACACGAGAGCCAGACTATCCGGGCTCTCTTTTCACACCTTTCACGGTTCCCTCATCAATGTGTATGTATTATATATATATAGCCTGTACAACGCTATACATAACCTGATCGACAAGGAACTCAGGAATAGATCAACAAGGAAGTGAAACGCTGAGAAATTCCAGTACTAGACAACATAAAGAGGTCCGTAAACAAACAAAATCAGCCTTTTTAGCACATGCCACGACTGACGAATATCGAGAACTGCGTTTTGAACAAATATTTCTCCAAAAGGGGGGATTCACAAGCCATAAAAATGAATCCTAGGCTTAAAATATAATTACTAAGCTTCGAACATAGCGCAAAAGTTGAAAAGACGTTTGCGTTTCAGACCAGGAAGAAAATAGGTGTTGGAGAAGTAAACTCGACCTTTCATACACGACAAAATCAAGGGAGTAGAAAATCAATATATGGTTCCAGCATATTATTATTTTGTCCGGATATCTTTAACCCATTTGACCACCGAGTATTCCGTTTACAAAGAAATAAAAGACAAACCTGTCTCACGATTAGTTTTAGTAAGCCTTGTACGACACTTGCAACACAATAAGGCCGTATTATAAGTGCCGAAGATTAGAGGTTCTACAAGAAAGTAGCAAACATTAAAAAGAAAGAGGAGATATAAGGACGATAGAATAAGTTTGATAGAAAAGAAGGACCAAACCACACCAGAGCACCCACCAACCACTCGCCATTACGCCCCGTTGTGTAGATGGAACTAAACCCGTCTCCCCCGCCCCTGAAGAGAAATTCGTCTGAATGATAAGCTTGTAAGTGTATGAGTTTTACAAACATATGAACACCAAAACGTTGTTTAAGAGGCAGGTTGTAAGGTCCTTGGAGGCAGGACTTCCGAATTCAACGTCCGTCTCAGATAATACCAAACCAGATAAGCTGAGAGCCTTGAAAACATCACAAAACGCACCGAGTTTAAAAAAAACGCCCAATCTGGGATTCGAACCAAGAAGATCCGCTCTGTAGTATAGCAAGATACTAACTGAGCAAATGAAACACGCCCGTCCGAATAATATACGCTCACAAAACTAAACGATAACATAGAACACTCTCTTTTTTCTCATGCTCTTCTTGTTCTGCTTCTCGTTTACCCCAGAAAAAAAATTGACTCTCCCCAAAACCCCCAGCCAAATTTCCTACCCAAGCAGTGGAGCCACCAAAGCAGCGTACTCTCTCATTGGCTGTCTCTGGCAGAAAATATAACGGGCCGGGGGAGA